GCCCCCCCTGCCCAATCGCGGCCGCTGTGTGGCCTGTGGGCGGTCGGAGCGCTGTTGAGTGGCAGGGGCTCGGCCAATGAGCGGGAGGCAGTGGGCGGGGCGGCGGCGCCGCGCCGGTGCGGGGCCGCGTCGCCCACGGTTTGTGCCTCCCGTGCGCCGCGGCAGATGCCGTTCGGCCTCCTCAGGGTGTTCAGCGTCGTCATCCCCTTCCTGTACGTGGGCACGCAGATCAGCAAGAACTTCGCGGCGCTGCTCGAGGAGCACGACATCTTCGTCCCCGAGGACGACGACGACGACGACTAGAGCGGGTGCGTCCTTAGCGTCGCCTGCAGTTTAGTTCCTGCTGCTTCCTGCCAGTTCGGGCCCGGAGGAGAACGACAGGCTGGAAAAGCAGGGATCAACAGATCAACAAGGTGCCCATGTGGTTAAACGCATCGGCACCCACAACTGCGTTGACCCTGGCTGCAAATTCTTAGCCTGGGTAGGACAGCCCGGTGTCTGAATTTGAAACCTCTGCTGCGTAAATTCTTCCGTGATCATAATGAACTGGTGCAGTGTGTAATGTTGTCATTTGAATCAGAAATAACTGTAGTCAGTGAGAGGGCTATGCTGCAAAAATACAAGGACCTCAATATCAAAATGCTATTGCATGTTACCTGTTTAAAAGTCTTCTGCTAACTAGTAGAATGACTGTTTTAAGTAATAATCACTCCATGTGATAGGCTGAATTTCAGAATCCATCAGATTAAAGTGTCGAGTAGGCTTTGGGATCTTTTGGTGCCATTAGATAAAGGAAAGCAGAGATTTATCTACACCACACACACTTCCATTTTATGTTATCCTCTTTGGCTTGCCTTTCTTGTGTAAAAAACCATCAAACAAACATAAAGTCAAACATAAAGTCAAAAAAATGAAACCAAAAACAGCTTAGCAACTCCTGATAGTGTATTAGCTAAAGGCAAGGAATGAACAAGTCTGAAGGACTGAAGTGGCTGGTTAGAAGCTTGTTTTCTGTACACCCCCACCTCATGTGGCTTGTGGGGAGGGGTACACTGGCACTTGGAGAGGTCTGTCTGAAGAATAACACAAGGCCAATCCTGTGGCAAGTAATGCTTATTTAAATCTCTTTGCAGGATTGCAATGGAAGAACAGAACCGAGGAAGCCATTGGGAAAGAAATGGTTCTGACATCTGTCACCCATGTTATGTCCTTCCTAAAGAGGAGGGGCAGAGGGACCGTGTGTCCCCTTTTGCCAGTAAATGCCCCGTGCATGAGAGAAAATCCTGGGTCAGGATTGAAGGGAGTAATTGATATGACTGCATCCTCACATACACTATCTTTGCCTCACAAAAAGACTGCTTGGGATTCCTTTCTTTAGCTAAATGGAAAACTTAATTAAAGAACAACAGACTAAGAAGCATGGCTTTGTTTTCTTGTTTTTATACATCTTGTGCCTATGATGCAGCATTTCTGTGTTCATTTTTCCACGTTCATATATCTCTTAAGGTGAGGAGGCTCTGATCATAGGCACGTACAGTTACGTGTCCTCTCCCTGAGATTCACTTCTGTGCCATATCACACAAGCAACAGGAATCCTGGAGGAACAAGCAGCCCCAAAGCAAACTGCTATTAAAATTGTGGTGTGTGTGTTCATGCTCCATAATCTGGCACTGTGCAGTGATGTCTGGCAGGGACCACATCAGTAGCTTCACCTCACTGAGGATTAAACAGAGCATTACCTTGAGGAGTCAAAATTTGAGCAGGTTTGTTAAGGGGAGGATTAAGATCCCGAGTGGCAAACTAAGCAAATGTCTTGCAGTGTGTTATCCAAGAATACTGCTCTGGCCACAGATACCTTGTAATTGCCATTCTGTACTTCTCTATAGCCCTATATTTATTTTATTGCCTCTGTGTAAATTTCAGCTTTTCTTTTTCCTCAAAAGTATTCATTAGGGCAGTTAAATCAACAGTAATAAACTTTAAGATCTTTACTGCTAGTGCATGCCAGAAATCTCCTCTGTTATTTCAGACCAGTAGCCTGCCAGTAGTTTTCTTAGGTATCTGGAAACAAACACTGGAAACATGAAGGTCTTTCAGGATTCAAGTAACAGTTAAAAAGCAGATTTATTTTAATGTCAGGTCCTCTAGTTGAGCTGGTTGTGCACTTGCACAGATGTCTGCACGAGGAACAGGGCAGTGACAGAGTAGGGAGGCTGACCTCTGGCTCTTCCCAAGAGCAAACATGGGCATGCACTGCTTCCCAGTCACACCCTGAGTTTACATAATGATATAACTACCTTCTATTCATAATTGGAAAACTTCTGGTTCAAATAAAATCCTCGGATTTATATACTGCAGATTATCCTGTGAAATCCATAACATTTGCCTTTATATGGCTGTGAATAGCTCTTGTTTATAAACAAGTATGAAATGCAAGATGTGTCTCACCGGGATATACATCGTTTTTTTCTGTCTGAAAATGCAAATCAATGCGTATGTTCTTGGCTTATGGGTACCTGAGAGTTACGCTTCCTTATGAAAATCTATCAGCATCTCTCAAAATGAATGATTACTATTTTCCTGAAAAAAGGATCTCTCAACTGAAATCTCATCTTTTATCACAATTAGTTTACTTCACATTTAAAGGAAGTTAGGGTGAAATACAAGTAGGTTAGGTCCTGTGCTGGGGCATATCTAACTATGGCAATGTTGTCTTTAGCTTTGCTTTGTAAACATCCAGAATTGCTTTGCATCTTTTCAATTATATGTAATTTGCTCCAACTTCAGGTGGCAAACAAATTCTGAGGCAGTACGTACACACGTTAGCAAAGTGTATAGTTCAGACAGCCACATTCCTTGCTGTTTGGCATATGCTTTGTTTATTTCTCAGGTTTGGGTAGGGCAGCTCCTTGTACCGCTGACAGAAAAGAGAACTTGCAAAGTGAGTAATGGTAACAGCGGTAGTTGAAGGCAATTAACAAGTTCTCAGAGTTACTGAGTATCCAGGTTGTTCCCTTCCTCCCCAAGGCCTTGTGAAAAGCAGTTGCTCTGTTCACCCACTCTTGGGAACCAGGCTCTGTCTGTGCTTACTGCTGCTTGATCCTGTAGCCTTAGCAATCTTCAGCCCAGTCCTGAAAAGCATCCCACCCCCTAAGCTCCTGGGCACCCAAGCACACCCAGAGCTCTGAGGAGCGCTGCCTGGCAGTTCTTGGAGGGGGATGAAGACCCAAACTGGTATTTAGGCAGGAGTAAGAAGTTTGAGAGTGCTGCAAGCAGCCTGTGCTGATTGCACACTGGAGTGCTCCAACATGAGAACATTTTCACTGGCAAAGCAGCAAATTCTGCTTAATCTTCTCAACAATTTAGCTAGCAATTCTCAAATCAACTATAGAAGTGATGGTAGGATACTATGTTCTATGCATTCACGTACTCTTATGAAGTCTCCCTATTCTAGGCCATTTTCCCAAATAATTTGATTTTGCATCAGGGAAACAGCATGGTGTTGAACGGTTTACGGTTGGACTCGATGATCTTGAAGGTCTTTTCCAACTATAATGATTATATGATTCTATAAAAAGGCTTTATTGGCCTATTGGATTTTACACCATTCTCTGGTAGGAGGTAAACAGCATAGTGTCAAAGTAAAACCATGGTCATAGAATCATAGAATGCTTAGGGTTGGAAGGGACCTCTAGAGATCATCTAGTCCAACCTCCCTGCACACGCAGGGTCACCTAGAGCACGTGGCACAGGACTGCGTCCAAGCGGGTTTTGAAGATCTCCAGAGAAGGAGACTCCACAACCTCTCTGGGCAGCCTGTTCCAGTGCTCTGTCACCCTCACTGTTAAGAAATTTTTCCTTAAGTTCCTATGGAATTTTTGATGTTTCAGTTTCCGGCCATTTCCTCTAGTCCGATCAGTGGCCACCACTGAAAAGAGACCATCACCGTCCCCTGCATTCCCTCCCTTGAGGTATTTATATACACTGATTAGATCCCCCCTCAGCCTTCTCTTCTCCAGGCTGAACAGGCCCAGCCCCCTCAGCCTCTCCTCATAGGGCAGATGTGCCAGGCCCCTGATCATCCTTGTAGCCCGTCGCTGGACTCTCTCCAGCAGCTCCACATCCCTCTTGTACCGTGGAGCCCAGAACTGGACACAATACTCCAGATGCGGCCTCACCAGGGCTGAGTAGAGGGGCAGGATCACCTCCCTCGACCTGCTAGAGATGCTCTTCTTAATGCAGCCCAGGATTCCATTGGCCTTCTTGGCCACGAGGGCACACTGCTGCCTCATGGTCAACTTATCATCCACCATGACACCCAGGTCTTTCTCCGCAGAGCTGCTCTCCACAAGCTCGGTCCCCAGCCTGTACTGGTGTCTGGGGTTATTCCTCCCCAGGTGCAGGACCTTGCACTTGGCCTTGTTGAATTGCATGAGGTTTTTCACCGCCCAGTTGTCCAGTCTGTCCAGGTCCCTCTGGATGGCAGCACAGCCCTCTGGGGTATCGGCTACTCCTCCCAGTTTGGTATCATCAGCAAACTTGCTGAGGGAGCACTCTGTGCCTTCATCCAGGTCATTGATGAATAAATTGAACAGGACTGGACCAAGGACTGACCCCTGGGGGACCCCGCTAGCTACAGGCCTCCAACTAGACTCTGCACCGCTGATCACCACTCTCTGGGCCCTGCCATCCAGCCAGTTCCTAATCCACCTCACAAAAAGCTGTAACATGAAACTGCAAAATACTACATGAAGAAAGATGTGCCTCAAGGATAAAAATACTTCTATGCCTACAGTGGCTTTCCTAAAGGTCTGTTCTTTTTTCCTGGGAGCTAACACCTACACACAAGCCTGCAGGCTAAGCAGAAAACTGCACAACCAGGTTATACTCTGGTTATTCACCAGTACTCCAGGGCAAGCGATTGGACAGACTCCACCCATCGAAAACACACACTGTCAAAACCCAGGAAGTCACAGCTGTTCATGCAATTCAAAGTGATGTGCATGCACTGG